CTAGGCCTTTTGTTTAACAGATGACAGGTTTGCCCTTTATGTACTCCAGCTCTAGACTCCCGAGTGAAAAACAAAATCCGCAGGAAATTCTGAAGTTTTTCAAGTGAACCTTCCCTTGTTTTTGCAGAAGGTTCCCTATGTGAAAATGTCACTGCTTTGTGTGCTGTGGCTGAAGGGTCTTCGGGGCTGCACCAGGTTGCTGAGGACTGTCCAACTGAATTTTCTGAAATAGCTTAAAAAGAATTTATTTGTTTTTCTTAAGCATTTATTGCTTTCATTTGGGCCTGTGCTCTCAGCAGGCTTGTAGACAAAGACCAGATTTAGAAACAGCTTGGTGCTGACTTTTCTGCAAGTTGGTGTTGCAGCTGAAGCAGGGACCTCCTGAAAACTGGGTCCTAGAACCCACGTTATTTTTTGCTGGTGCTCTATGTCTGTAGTGAATTGGGAATGTGAGGGCAGAAGTAGCGGTGATTGATACAGTTTGGGCTTTTATGTAAAAGGACGTTATGTTAGAGCGGCAATAGAATTTGTGTGTGTCAGTCTTCAGCCACACCTGCAAAACAGCTTGAAATCCTGGGAACAGCATCGTTACGAAAATATTGACAAACTGTTGAGAAGGTGAGAGGAGCAACAAAGCAATCAGAGCAGAAGGGACCAAATGATGAGAAAGGATTAAAAAAAAGCTAAGTGCCATATCTATGACTTCGCTAGAGGATGATTGATGGGAAACACAGACAAGTTTGAAAGGAGCCTGAATTAAAAAAAAAAAAAAAAGAAAAAGAGTGAGAGAATAGTTAGGACAGTACAAGAAGGTATAACTAAGAATGATGGGGTGAAATTAAGCAAGAGAAAATTTAAGGTGAATCTTAGGAAAAAATCATTACTGAAATATATTAGGATGCTGAGCGATTGTCCATGGGGAGCAGTGCAAACTGCTGCCTGTATACTGTTAAACCTGGGCAAAATGTTGTCAGGCATGCAGCTAAGGAAGCTCCAGAAGCAGGAAACTGAAGCATACACCTTTATCAGTGGTTTTACTGTTTCATGTGTATCATTTACAGGCATAATTTGGTTAACCCTAATGCATCAAAGCATCTTTGACCATTCATCCCTGTTGAAATTGGTGGAAGTGAGATGCATAAATATCTAATGAAGACTTTGATCTGAAGGGCTTGATTCCCATTATGTGTGAGGATGAGAACAGCAACGTTTCTTGTACCTATGTGTTAGTGCAACACCACAACCAACCCTGAGTAGGCTATGGGAGCCCTGTGGAGGATGTAGAGCACACTCTGATATGCTGTACTGTCTCAGTGGTGGTTCTCATCAAGCAATCTCCACAGCTCAGCTTACTGGGCAGCCTGAACCAGTAGGGTTGGCTCATACCCCAGCTTCTCCAGCCCACAGGTGCAGTGCCCTGGAGATGCATGTCTTTTGCACTGGACACAGAAAAGCTTTCCAGAAAACAGCCACCGTTGTTCTTCAGACAGGTAGAAGGAAAGCCTTCATCTTCAGGTGCACCAAAGCAAGGTGGTGGTGTCCCCATTTGTGAAAGCTCAGTGTCCATTTGTGCTTACCTGGCATGTGAGAACCTGTCTGCACCAAAACCTTCCTGGGGGAGAGGTTGAGAGTGGGATCTTGTTTTCCCTGAGAGCTCCTAACTGAAGGAGGGGTTTGATTGCTGGAACTTTGCACTCCCTGGTAAAAAGCTCCTCAGGTTTGTAGACAGCTTAAATTTTGTGGGCTGGAGTGTGGCAGGAATAAGCCCAAATAGCCCATGGGCCAGCCCCCGCTGGGAGCAGTGAAACTTGAGTTTCATTCCCTGCTTTGGTGTTGTCTTTGAGAAGTAAGGATAGTGCCTCCTTCCTTTGCATTTCATGCATGACTTGCGTCTTCTGGGTCTGTTGTGACCTCAGGGTGTAAACAGAGGAAAAACTTGTTTGTGAATCCCAAAAAGCAATAGGGAGGGACAGACTGTAGGTTTGCCAGAATTGTCAGAACCTGCCTGGAAGCAGACATTTTTGGGACATCTCAAAATTTGTTGTTGAAAAATGGAAGACATCTATGGATTTTGGGTGGCTTTGGAGATAGCTGGCAGCTCAATATCAGTCTGAGGACTTCAGTTTTCAATAAAGGTGGGATAAGCAAGTATTTGAGGAAGAACTCTAATTCATTAGGGTCTGGGTGGCCAGAAGTCCTGCTGGGGGTGAGATGGCATATTTCTTTGTCCCATGGGTCTTGTGCAGCACTCACTTTGCATTTGTGAGGGAGAAATTTAGAAAATAAACCTTGAAGGAAGTAAGCCCGACCATTTACCTCTCTTTCCTCAGTTAGCCATTTTGCTCCATAGTGTTTCTTATTATTTCAGAGTTCTGGCTCTGTTTTATAACCATTTGAAATAGTTTTGAAGTATTTTTTTTCCTCTATTGCTGCCCTTTGCCTTTTATTCTATATATTCACTACTCCCTATCTAAAGAAATTCTGACTAAATTCCTTGAGGGTCTGACCCTTCCCTTAGCTTTAGTTTATGCTCCCTTGTTCTTGTGTTTGACATAAGCTCAAACAGCCTTGTAAAATCTCATTTCTCTTCCCTTCAGGATTGTGTATTCTTCTATGAAATATTTTCCCCACTCTCCTCTACCCTGCCTCTTCCTAGAAAAGTGCTTCTATTTTGGTAACTGTTTTGTACAATTAATTGTTAGAGTTCTGGATTCTTTTGCCACTTTCTTCATTAAACGTTATAGTTCTACATTGAGTTTTAGTTATAAATTCAGCTGTGGTAATTTTTTTATATCTATATAATTTTTTTGTATATTCAGCACTCCATCTTATTTCCTTTACATTCTCCTGATTTTTCTCTTCAATAGTTCAGTACAGGGCTCAGCAAACTGTAGGCTGTTTGCATCACATTTTATTTTCAGAAAGGTGTATTCTGGTCTAGGTTTGTTGTTGCTCACCATGGAAGTTGTAGTCTCTCTCTCCCTGAAAGCTTTGTATGATTAATTCAGCAAAATGATCTTATACAAAATCCTGAGTTACAAAAGCCATATGTGGAAATGGGAAATTAATTTTTGTAAAGTTTATTTGACTGTAAGTTTCCATTTGGCAAGAATTATGATTTTGAGCCCATATATTAGACTAGTACTGCAAACTGCCCTACTGTCTGTAATATAATACAAATTATGATAAAGATCTGCTTTAAAAATAAACAGCACTAGGACAAATGCTGTTGAATCCAGAGGAACACGCTGTTGCAGATAGCTTAAAATGAAGAGGAATTTGGGAAGAAGAAAATTGATTGAAGAAGAGTATGAAAATTCACAGTGAAACGTGTTTACTAGTCATACAGGGGAGCTGAGGGCTCCTGCAACATGTGTCTCAAACAGCTCAGGCTGCTTTTTGGAACACGGTTTCTTTTTTTCCAGTTTCTTTTCCCTGGAGTGTGCCATTAGCTTCAGTCTTCCATTAACTTCCTTGGTAACTTCTTAAAAGAACTCTCTAGAGATGAACATGTCTCTGGAGGACCAAATACCAGCTTGTTGAAATTGAACAAATGAGTGATTTTACTATGAAGCAATTTTGCTGTTTGTCTTTTTTATTTTGACTTCAGTTGGGGAATAGAAAATCTACTACCTTACAGTTTATGAAATATGGAACAGGTATCAATCTCAACACCTCATTATTAGTTTACATGCTGCACTGACCAGGAATTGAAACAAACTAATTATAAGCTCTCTCAGCTTTAACATTGGTAATAGATGTTATTTCCAAAGCGGGATCTTTTCCTCTGCAATTCTGGGTGTGAACTTTACATGCTTCTTGGCCTTTGAACCATCTACAGAAGTTTCTCAAAATTAAATGCAAAATTCAGCACAGGCTTTTTTCCAGACATTGATATCTCCGGGATTAAACTTTACAAATATTGTAGCCCACATTTTAAGTGATTCTTCCCCTTTATCCAAAAGAAGTACAACTGGAGACAGAGCAATAACATTTCATCTCTTTAAGCAATATTTTCCAAGTATTATACAGCATTTCCTAGCAAATGTTCTCAATTTACCGATTCCTACAATATTTAGTAAAGAGTTTAAAAAAAAGTTATCTAAAACGTATCAGCATTTTGTACCTTGAGCAAGTTTACGAGTTCCAGGGTTCCGATTGGCACTGCTCAAACATAGTTTTCTGAAAAGATAATGATGCTTTAGAGTGATTTGTCTTCAGGACAGCTCTGCCTGAGCCAGTTCCATGGCAATTCCCTGAGTGCATTTCTGGACTTTCTCTTAGCAAAGGCACATGCTCTGTTTTGGGAGCAAAAGAATTTTTGTCTGGTCTTTGTGGTTGGTCCAGTGAGCCTTGATTCTCCAGCTAACTGGGGGGATCTGGCTCTTTTTATTGCTCAAGGTTAGGGTTTTCGCTGTGGCATTCCACACGGAACATGCTCTGGTGCAGTGCCTACCCCACAGGCTTTGCCGTCCAAAGGAGGGCAACAGGAATGGTGAAGGGCCTTGAGGGGAAGCTGTGTGAGGAGTGGCTGAGGGCACTTGGTCTGTTCAGCCTGGAGAAAAGGAGACTGAGGGCAGATTGCATTGCAGTTACACCTTCCTTGTGAGGAGAAGAAAAAGGGGCAGGCACTGATCTCTTCTCTGTGGTGACCAGTGATAGGATCTGAGGCAATGGCCTGAAGTTGTGTCGGGGGAGGTTTAAGCTGGATATTAGAAAAAGACTCTTCAGTCAGAGGGTGGTTGGGCATTGAAACAGGCTCCCCAGGGAAGTGGTCACAGTACTAAGCCTGAGAGAGTTCAAGAAGCATTTGAATGATACTCTCAGGCACATGGTGTGACTCCTAGGCATGGTCCTGTGCAGGGCTAAGGGTTGGACTCAATGATCCTTGTGGGTCCTTTCAAATTCAGCATATTCTGTGATTCTGTGACTTCATAGAGGCAGTCTCTCCAATGTGCCCCTGCCCTAAGCAGTTGTCCCCCTACAGCAAATAACCTCCATGCAGCCAACGCAGCAACATGGCTGATGTTTGATGGGTGCTGTGAGGCTCCTGCTCACCACCTGCTCCATCAGTAGCCACTGTTCAGAATTTGATGTCTCACTCCAAAACACACACACATATGTGTGTGTATACATATATATATCTATGCACATAGATATGTATACTTTTAATTTTCTTTATGAGACAGACAAGCTACTACTAGCAGATGTGACCTTTTAGGCTCAGAGGTGGTGTGTGTTGGGCTGAGGAAACTTCACAGCCTTAGGTTTAGTCGAGATCCCAGGAGATCACAGCCAAGGGCCCTTGCTCTTTCCAGATCCCAAGTTATAACGAATGAAGCCAGATGGCCAAATATTTGAAAGCTGCTTTGTTTCCAGACTTTTGTTTTTATGGTGTGCTGTCATGATGTGAGGATATGTCAGGGTGTCAGACAGCATAGGGCCTGCCAAAAAAACAATGGAACACTGGGTAGAGGGAAGAAAACCTGGCACAGATTGTGTTCATGCCCTCTATCATTAAATTCATCTCTTCTTTACCTGGGTGGTTTTACATAATAGAGCAAGTGAAAATGAACATACGATGATCAAAGATTTCCTTTAGCAAAGTCTTTCCAAATCGGTTGATTCCCAAATAGTTGAGTGTGGAATGGTGGTGGTCTGTGAGGTGATGGTGATATTCTGGAGCATAGGGACCTCTCCTCCCTTTACCTCTCAAATAAGAAATAGGGATCCAAGCAGACCTTACAATTAGTAGGATAAAGGGAAGACTGATAACATTTATAGTTGAGTTTAATGTGTTCTATTCTGTATGAAGACAGTTTGCATGACAAATAAACTTTTCCTCCATATTCTATTTTAGATACTTTTTTTTTGTTAAAGAGCAAAGGATTTTTTTTTTTATTTTACAGCTACCCAATACAGAGACAAAAAGTAGAAACATTCAGTAGAAACCATTTGGCTTAGGAAGAAAAGTGAAAGAAGTCCCAGCTCCAAATAAAATTATCTCTGTGTAAGCCATCCATGGGGGACATAAAGAAAATTTTTCTTTATGAGTATTGGGATGATCATTGCTGTCACTGTCTAGTTTTTCAGGAAAGAACATATTTATTCTTTTTTAATTCACATACAGAAATCAGAAACCTACCGTCTAGGATCAAACTCTGAAAATTTTCCCATAAAGATAGCCACAGTGATGAACTAGGCCAAGTTAATGAGTTTTTGCTTTGCTATTTGAAAATTGTCCAGTATGTAGAGGTTTCCAACAAAGCTAGTTACCTAGCCATTATGAATGTACATTGCCAGCTTTGTGCTGGATAGCTGCAGCAAATATCCTCCTCTTGATCGGATGGCAGATATCTTCTTGCTGCATGGTACAAAAACTGCTGTTGGTTTTATTGTTTGATGAAGGCATAATTTAGCCTTGGGGTAAGGAGATAAAATGACAATAGTGACTGTCTGCCAGCACGCTATAAAGACATACAGAAAAGATAGACTTAGCACATGTTTCCAGCATCCTCTAGGCCTTTTCAGTACTTCAAAGAAAACAGATGCAAATATGACAGCTTTCATATAGGGCTTTGCTTTTGTATTGCAGCTGGATTTTGTGTTTTTATAGTGCATGCACCATATTTGAGTCCTTTGTGTTCCACAATAATAATTTTCGCCTTTATCACCATGCTGCTATCACATAATCTAGGATCTTAGCTGAGCTCTTGCAATAGGTTATATTTTATTGACAATCAAAGCCCGAATCTTGGCATTCTGGCAGGAACTGATCTTAGCCTTGCAGTTTATTGGGCAATATTCAAGTTGTTCATACAGCTCTGTAGATATTCTGAATACTTTACAGACAGATATACCTTCAGTCTCTGCCCCAAGGAATTTACGCTTAAAATGCAAGGTGGCACAGGAGTAGAAGAGAAAGCAGATGATGTCTGGGAGGAAGACTTGGAGCAAATCATCAACCTGTAGAGCAACATTAATGTCAGCATTCTGAATACTGAAGTCACAGGAAAACCTGCTGTTTGTAGATTGTGTTCTTCTTTTCTCATTAAATATTCAGTTTCACAGTGATGTTAATGTGTAACCACTATGAGACCATGTAGGTAGCAGTTGCTAGAGGTCTAAAGTCACAGGTCAGTGTACTAATCACAGTGCGCCGCACCAGCCAAACAGCCGCGGGGTACCGAGCACAAGGCAGCAACATTACCCTGAGCATACTGCTACCACATTGCTTCTACGCAGGAACGTTCATTTTAGGACGTGATGCCAAATCTTCCAGTCACCACGCTGTATAAAACAGTTTCCTCTTTGTCATTGGACAATTTTAAGGATACAGTCCAACACAGTAGGGCTGTAATCTTGTTTATTTTTTGCAGACGCTACATGGCTCTCTAAAAGCCTTAGAGATCATCACACCCTTGTTATCATAGCAGGTATGTGCCTTGTAATCTTGCTGTACTAATTGTTGGGAAAATGTGCTTGGTAGTCTACACTGGCAGAATCCCAATTGCCAAGGTAATTAATAGTGTTACAGACTTCAAGGCCATAATGCTCATCAGTTATTAATTAGCAATTCATTTTGCTGAATAAATAATACTTATGATTGATGATGGAACTTGTAATTGGGCACTAGTAGTGTTCCTCAAGGGAACAGCTTCTCTGCCAGTATTAACTATGACAGTAACAGCTCAGAAACCCAAGATAGTTTAAGAAAATCTGCTCTAAACAACTGTGACACAATCAAGGCATTTACATTCAATATTGGAAATGTAGAGCTTAAACATTGGAGACTTGCCTATGGCAACCAAATGCTACTATTTTGGTCTATTTTACTTGTATTTTGCTTCACTTTAAGCATTGCCTACTTATGAGGAAATGCCCTATATAATTTTATGGCATGCATTACATTGTCTTTATGAGCTCTCATATGCATTCTTCACAAATTCAGAAGATAGTGTAATAAAGGAAATACTTTCCCAAGCACGATAACCAATTTAAAAGAAATTTGCTAAAATTAAATCTATTTTAGATTAATAGATTGCGGAAAATCACTTTTATTTTATATTGGTTGGCACTACCTTTTGACATAATTAAAATAGAACTTTGCTGTCCACCCATATAATAGAAAGAGAAGTTGGTAAATAAAGCAAATAAGCTGTTAGTTTTAACTGGTTAGTCAACAAAGACAAGCATGGGAGGTCAGCTGCTGACCAGATGCTGCCTTCAATTAATATTCCAACCCTAAAAGACATTTATCGTTCAGTTTAGAAGGCAGAGCAGCTGAGTCATAAAAGCAGCCACAAAAGATATTTTAAAGCATTTATAATGACTAAATTGCTTGAAATAATTTAGATCTGAAAATAAACATATTTTGGACAGCCTACGTAAACCAAATTTCTTCTCCCTGTAAATTGCTTAGACTAAGTGGGAGTTTGTGTTTGACAAGAGCATACATTTGCTTCATTACTACATGTGGGTTATTTTTTTTCTTGGAAAAGGGTTAATAAACTATAAGATATCATTGCTAGCTAAATCAGTCCTGCACCCTTTTAAGGGAGGAAGGTGCTGCAGAAGAATAAGTTAAAAAGAAATGCAGAGCCTGTGTTGTAATGCTAACAGGCAATTAACAAACTCATGGGTGTTAATTATCTTCATACTGTATCATGTTCAATTAGCTGAGCCCCTGCAACAAAGGCAACCATGAGCAATTGCTTTGATAGGCGTACAGTACTTCATTTGTAGTTAATCGGTTTAAGCCTTGCAGTTGCTAGGCTACACCAGTCTCCAGAGGTAAAAAGCTGCACAGATGCACTATGTTTAAATGACTACAGAGAACTGTTTAAACTCAAACCATGTATAACTCTTTATTGATTTTTCACAGAAGATCTCAGCTCTGATGATAAGGTTTTGATATATTTTCCTGCTACAGCTGGTTCCTTGGAGTATTGCAGAAAAAATCTGTCAATATGCTTCTATTATGATCTCTTGATCTGTGGCTATAAAAACCTTTAGCTGCAGCCCTTATTATAAAATAATGGAAGAAGCGATATTTGATTTTTTCCGTTTTTTTTTTTTCCATCCTCCCACTCTATAATACATGGAGATTTTTTTCCCCAGTGCCTCTAGAACAAAATTAAACTACGTTCCTTCTGTATTTCTGTATTAGAATACAGAAGAATTTCTATCACTAATTAATTTGATTGACTCTCAGCAGGAAAGGATCAGCTGTAGCATCATGAACTTTAACAATAACTACCAACTGATGGGCAGTTCACATCAATAAGACCATCACTAGCCTCCCTCACCTGTCACCAGGCAGGGAATGAGCAATAACCACCCCCTGCAGATGCACTGCTTAGCACTTTCTGCCCGATTAGCAATTTATAATGGTGATCAAGAAACAGTCAGTGGCAAATCAAGACAACTGTCTGGCTGCCTGTTTAATTGGCCTTGTTTGCTTTTTGATAAATGGCTGGTGACTGCTATAGGCCTCCGTATTTTGACTTTTAATAGGCCACTGTGATTAGACTACCAACAGATACTAGGTCAAAGCTGAGGGAAGGTGCAAAAAATGTTAATTAATATCAATAATAGGCAATTATTAGTTAGACAGAAGGACCTACTAGCTGCGTGCTCTAATGACTCAGAGCTAACTTGAAGGGAAACAGTGCCAAATTAGCATAACTGTGTATGCAGGCTGCATAGTGGATCCTAGCAAACATCTGTTATATAATTCAAACAGAATTCTTCCTTTTTGCATGATGATCACAAAATTATCAATTCTTTTTGGTCATTTTTAGACACTAATGATACCATAGGGGTTAATGACCTCCCAGTTGGGCTTTGTGTCAGTCCTTCATATCAAGAGCTAACTTGTGAAAGTTAATTTAGGTGTGGCTTTCTAGATCTTTAAGTTAATAAATCATTTACAAAGGTCACTAATACTGTAATTGGAGGAATACATGCTGAGCAATTGTGTTGGTACAAGTGTAGCTCTCACTACAAATAACTTTTCCCCCACTTTGTCTCTTTTAGGAAAACAACCATGCGAACAACAGTGAGCACTGAAATATTTGTGTGTCTGCTATTGCTGATCTGCTGAATAGACATGATAGGATATGATGAGAGAGTCAAAATTCTTACATATGGGGGTGAGACAAAGAAGAAAAGGAGCTCCTTTGACTCTCTACTTGTCCATGATGGTCTTCAGGATACTGGGAACGTCACCTTTGTTGCAAACACGAAGCAGACAAAGCGCACCCAAAGAAAGTGGAAGAACTTCACTTACAAGAAGTATTGTAAGTAAAATTTATACAGAAGGGTAATGGCCCTACATTTTAGGAGATCCTTTATTTTTGCAAGCTTAAAATTCCAAGCGAGCTGAACTCTTGTGATGGTAGAGGTTAGAGGAGACTTGTTCAGAGTGCATTATCTTGTAAGCAATTTAGTGATTTTTCTCTTTTCTCTAAAATGGTCAGAAATCCTTTATAGTAGGGATGGTGATAACCCATGCTATATGATACTGTTCTGCCTGTGCTTCTTTCTCCCTTCTGCCCAATACCTGTGTGCATGTTTGGATAAAAAGTTAGTGAGAGTTAAGCTCCGATAGAGCTTTACTGTGGGTATTTCTAAGGCAACTGCAGTCCCCACTGTGACATCAATGGGAATTCTGGCATGGATGAAGAAGACACATTGATGCAAACAGAGATGAGGCTCATTATCAAGCCCAAAAGAAACATCTGTGACTGCAGGCTCAGGAAAATGCTGCAGTCTCTGTAGAGGCTTGTCCTGATGGAGGTGGAAAAACAATCTCTTGTTAAGGGACATATAATTATATATAATTTTATATATATATTTCCTTTATCATTCCATATCTATATCACAGAATATGCTGAGTTGGAAGGGACCTACAAGGATCATCGAGTGCAACCCTTAGCCCTGCACAGGACTATGCCCAGGAGTCACACCATGTGCCTGAGAGTATCATTCAAATGCTTCTTGAACTCTCTCAGGCTTAGTGCTGTGACCACTTCCCTGGGGAGCCTGTTTCAATGCCCAACCACCCTCTGACTGAAGAGCCTTTTTCTAATATCCAGCTTAAACCTCCCCTGACACAACTTCAGGCCATTGCCTCAGATCCTATCACTGGTCACCACAGAGAAGAGATCAGTGCCTACCCCTTTTCTTCCCCTCAGGAGGAAGTTGTAACTGCAATCAGGTCTCCCCTCAGTCTCCTCTTCTCCAGGCTGAACAGACCAAGTGCCCTCAGCCACTCCTCACACGGCTTCCTCTCAAGGCCATTCACCATCTTCATTGCCCTCCTTTGGACACCCTCTAATGGCTTAATATCTTTCTTATATTGTGGTGCCCAAAACTGGACATAATACTCAAGGTGAGGCCGCCCCAGTGCAGAGCAGAGCGGGACAATCCCCTCCCTCGACCAGCTGGTGATGCTGGGCCTGATGCCCCCCAGGACACAGTTGACCTTCCTGGCTGCCAGGGCACTGCTGACTCATATTCCACTTGCCATCGACCAGGACCCCCAGGTCCCTTTCCATGGCAAATCATTTAATTCCACAGTCTGTATCTATCTGTATCTTCTTTTCCAGATGTAAAATCAACAGGTGTCACCAATCCCTAATTTGTCCAGTCAGTAACACGTCCAGCGCCAAGATCAGGTTGATGGACTGTTACTTTGGACACAGTCTGACTCTTGGAACCCCTACCCCAATATATGTTACAAGAGTTCGGAGCAGGAAATGATTGTGCATAGTTTTCTTTAGGTATTTCAAAATCATTATATAAATTATATTCTAAAGTTAATGGGAAAGTCAGGCTTTCAATGTCTGAGAGCTCTCTTCTGGTGACAGGATGAGAGGTATGATGTTTGAGATGTCTTAAAAACAATATTTGGGAAAGAGAACATGCTCCTGGCACATGTTCTTTGGGTGTCCAACTGCTGAGAACCTGCAATGCTGACTGACAGAGGATGGAAAGAAGTGTTTTGTGCTTTACTTGTCAAGGGAAATTTTGCTGGAAGCTGAGCCCTTTTATTCAGAGAGAGGAAAATGCAGGAAGCCTGCAAGATTTGAGAGAAGACTCGTTACTGCTTGTAGGCCTGGACCAAAACTATGTATTACTCTGTGTGTAATGTGCCTTGGATGAGGGGCAGATGCTAAATGGAAAAATAACAGAATTGCAGGTCTGGCAGCAAAAATTGGGGAGCCTCCTTTCCCCTCCCCAGCTGCTCATCTGTCCCTCGAACTTGACTGTGCCTTGTGGAGACCACTCTTTGCTTCCAACAAATGCAGGGATCATAAATGCTTATGTTGCTCATTTTTCTCTTCTGACTGGTCTCTTACTCAGTAGCTCCCTTTCTAGGGTGCAGCAGACTTCTCTGGTGTTGCAGTTTGGCAGGCACTGCTATGTAAAGGTGTCTTGGTTCTTCTTGGCAGTCTGAAGCTTGGCAACCACAAGTCTGCAAGAGCTCACCTGGACTAAAAGGGAATCATAGTAGGTACAAGCACAAATTCCCTCTACTTGTTATGACTGATGTTCAATACTGCATTGTTTATCTGCAATAGAAAAGTACACAGAGGCCTTAGAGGAGAACTGTGGGTTAATACTGTGGTTAAAATACCTGTCCTGAAGAGTGTAAGCGCTAAATAAACAAGCTGGGAGGAGATGTTTCCACTTCATCTCTGGAAGCAAAGGCAGGCTTTGTTTACTTTCCTATCTCCTGATCTCCAGCCCCAAGTCATAGCCACAGAACTGTCCTCCTAAATGCATCAAAAACCTCCTACAGTACTTTAAAATAAGCAATGCTTATGGGTGCACATATAACCTGTAATTGTATTGGCTTTCTACTGACATGAGTAGACTTTTTTTATATATGTATTTACAGCAAATTGAGAATGAAAGATGTGACTTCAATTATCTCCTCACTTAAAATCGTCTTCATTTTTGATTTTACATTGAGGGGTAAGTGGTATGATTCCCACAAGAGTGGGAATCATAAGAAAACATATCAGCTGTTATTCAGGGAGTAGTGGCCACCTTTCACCACTTAAGGAAGATATTTTACTGCTTATCTGTCTACTCAAGTTTCACGTATATGAAGAGAGAAGTACTTTGTAATTCTAGCTTTTGTAGACAAAACATACTTATCAGCTTAAGGAGTCATATGTGTTAGTACTTAAATTTTGAAATTCTGGTTGATGCAAAATGGAACCATCATAGAGGGACACTGAAAAATTATCATTTTCAGGTTTTAGAAGAGATTGTTTCCCAGGAAGTCTCTCTGTTAAGTTCCATAAATAAAAGTTAAATAAAATTGTAAAGTCTATTACAGAGCATTAACCTGCTTCATATAATTTGTGATTTTTTTTTTCAGTTGTGACTGTCATATAAATATTGCTGTTTAAATACAAAATCATCTGAATTTGATAAGTTTTGGCTGCCTCAGGCTAGGTTTTTCCATCTTAGTCATAATTTCTTAATATTCTTCTATAAAGAAAAAAACCTTACATTATCTACAGCTGAATTTAGATCTGTATTTTTTGCTTTACAGGGATGATTTGAAGTCATCTAACACAGTAAAAGATTTTTTAAAATTCTGAACTTCCATTTAGACAGGATTTGTCTTGAAAGTAATTTGTTTAATATACAGAATTCTTGAAATCTTAAGGGAATATAACTTCACCTCAGTTGTTTTCTGTTATCTCTCTCTTAAGCATTCTTGATATCTAGAGATTCAAACAAAATTAGCAGGAGGAAGAAAACAAAACTAGCAACCCTCCACTGTTCTGTATGTACCCTAACTGACCTTTCTGTATTCTCATTTATTTTGCATAAATTATTTTACTAGCCTCACCAGGGAAAGACTTGTGAAAATGTATAGTTTATAAAACATGGAATCATTACACTGAAAATCACACATGATACAACACGTTTTGGTGCATAAGGACTGTTGTTTAAAGAGCTGTGGGAGGTTTTAACTTCAGTAGAATAATCTGGCCCAGCTGTTAGGTATATTTTTTTTGTTTTCCAGTTCTCTCAAATTATGTGAATTGTTTCCATTAACAGGAGTGAGAGAAATCTTTTTCAATATTCAGGTCTGCTAAAAGCTGAAGGACCAGAACCTTGGAATGACCTCTGTAATGAGGTCTTGTTCTCCCAGATCAATTCTACCTAAACCTCTCCGGAGGTGTTCCGGAAGGAAACATTCTCTTCATCACACGTAGCCTCAAGGAGTTACTTTTGAGTAAATGAGGAGTCTAGAATATGTATAATCTATATATTCAGGTTTGGTGGTTTTTTGTTTTGATTTGGTTTTGGTTTGTTTTGGGTTTTTTTAAGGTTTTTATCCTCACATGATCTTCAGTTGTCTTCTACACCATCTCTTGTGAATCCCCTGGTAGCAAAGTTATTGACAAGTGTAGGAAATTATTGTCTCCATTGAAAAAGGAATTTGAGAAGTTTTCTTTGGTGTGAAACAGGAAAAACTTTGAAATTCATGAATGTATTTGAAGGAGAAGTACTTACAGTTAGCTCTACTAATTGTGCCAGAAATGGATGAGTGTGTTATCTAGGTCAGATTGCCATCTTCCTATCAACCCTAAATTATTGGCCATTGATACCTGTGACAGTGAATTTCTTTACTAGATGGATGCTGTTTGAAATTCTTTGAGCCTAGACTAGAAATTTTACCCTAATTGACTGAATGTAACAGGCTACGATAAGCTCTGAAAGAATAGCTGTTGTCTGAAGGTAATCAATGTTTTCCATATTAAATATATTTTTACTGTATAAAGTAGTTCAAAAGGAAAAAAGACAGTCTTTTTCTTGAAGATTTTATATTCTTGCATCATGGAGCACAAATGTCTGTAAAGCTCATCCAGTGTCAGCAAAGCATAGAAGCTGCATGTTACACTGGAAATAATAAACATTTGTGTTGCACAACTTCCCGTATAAAATCTGGTTTGAAAATTCTTTGATTTAGTTTTTATAAAAACATAATCACAGGATCACAGAATCATTAGTGTTAGAAGGAACCTCTGGAGATCACCTAGTCTAACTCATCTCATAGTGAAATGTAGCCATAATAGTTTTTGTTTGTTTATTGTGGGAGACATATAAAACATTTAATATCCAACAGGTTTAATTCAGGAATCTTGAACTCCTTGTCTTCAAATTTTGCATTATGCATGGCTTTCAAACTTTCAGGTCTCTTCTGGAAAGCTGTAAGCCTTGGAAAGTTGGCTGTGCATATCCCAGATTTACAAATAGGAATGTAGAGAGAGTTTGCCTAGTTT